CTACTTCCGTAGTGATACTGCCTCGGAAACCCAAGGAGGGGTCGCTATGAGTCGGGTCCGACTTGACGGCACATAACAACAACAACAACAAGTCTATGCAGTGCCTGGGGTGGTTGAAGAGGAAGTCAGTGCTTCTGCAGATGCTTTATTTTGCTGCTTTGCAGCTCCCCATGGTATCTCACACAGTGCCCAGCAGAATGGCACCTGGATATTTGACAGTCTCTAGTCCCATCATTATATGTTAAATGGCTTAAATACCCAGGAGAGCTGATGTTTCATTTCTTTTACACTCCCTACCACAGCAACCTATGGTAGAACATTATGGGATCTTTGTACAGAAGGTGATAAATAATCTCTGAAGCAAATTGTTTGCTACCAACATTCTCAGAATTCATCATAGCAGCCCTTTTTGTTTATAAAAGAGAAAGTTGTTTATAGAGCTCAATTTAGACATTTTTTCTTCTTTTAAGAAAGAACTCTTGGGTTTCACTAAAGCCAAGCATGATAATGAAAAAGATACCTTTGACACTAAATCAAGTAGTTGACTTCAGAAGGTTCATTCTCAATTATATTTCTGCCTCAGTGGTGGTCCCTGGAGGCAACTTATAAAGAGGGCTTGATATGATAATGGTTTCACATCTGAGATAAGAGTTGGTGTGTATCCACAAGGGATGTGTAGGCTCCTACCCTCTCTTGAGAACAGCTTCTGCTACATTTGTTTTCAATATCAAATTACTATCCACCAAATATGTATAACCCAAACCAAAGGGCCTGTAAAGAGATGTTTGGTGGTCAGCTTAGGATGAAAGCTATTTGATTCTCTATTTTCTAAAATGATTGTAAGGGGCATTTTAAAACATAGGTATTATCATTTACTTGTTGAAAAATACGTGCTTTATTTATTTATTTATTTATTTATTTAAAAAAGCCCTGGCATGAGACTGGGTGAGGCTTGTTCACTGAGTATTTCAAAACTGGATTTAGTCTGGTCAAGGAGGAAGTATTCCATTGCATGTATGTACTATAGTTTGGTTGTCCTTACATCTGTCGATGGGCACTTAGGTTGTTTCCATTTCTTTGCTATTGTGACTAGTGTTGTAATAAACATGGGTGTGCATATAAAATGATTTCTATTTGATAAAAGCATGCTAGAAAGAAGTTTTACTTTAAGAATTTTTTTAAGTCTAGCTTTTTTCCCCAACTTGAATGATTTCTAGGCTTTAGTAGAAGGGCCTTGACTGTTGGCCAATACTGAGGAGCAGGTTCCACATTAACAACTGCAAAGGGCTAAACAGCAAGATCAGAATTAGTGATGGGCTCTTGGGACATTTATATTTCCATGAGTATTGTGGATTAAAAGCACACACACACACACACAACTAGAAAATACTAACTTCTATTCCAATTCATACTCAAAAAAGGAAGAACAGGGACCACCACTAAGAAACCAGCATAGCTGGTTGTGTAGCTTCTCAGGAGAGAAGGCCTCTAAGTGACAGTGTGATACCACAAAAACCATTTCCACACAACCATGAGAAACAAATTCACATGAAGCCTTAAGACCTAAATAGAAGACATCACTACTGTCTTTGTTCATTTAGCCAGTGGCTGGCCTGGTTAATGTGGGAGGACCTGAATTCTCCATCACTTTTGCAAATAATCCACCTTTCTCAGAAGCCCTTGGACATGTGGAGTCTGGCACTGAATTAGCTACTTCTGATAGATATGGTCCAATCATTCAGCATAGAATGTTTTCTATTTCTCCAGAGCTCTTCCTCACTGGGCATTCCGCTGTCTTATCAATCAAACCACAAAAACTGGGTGAGGCTCTAAGAACCACCTCAGCCACTGGCAACGTTGAAGACTGAGAAAGCAAATCAACAAAACACTCTACAAGAAGAGGCATTCAATGGCCCTAGGAAAAAGCACACATTCAAGGAAAAAGCAAATAGCAAATAAGAATGTTCCTTAAAGGCTTGAATCTTTATTTCAAAGCCAAGACTCATAGACAAACAAAGACGGAGAGTTGCAGAGGAGCAGTGTTACCTTGTCCTGGACCCAAACAGCT